AGGGGAAGACCTGAGAAAGCACTGCTCCTACAGCAAAGTCTGACGCATCGGTGGTAAGGATGAAAGGGCGATCAAAATCGGGTAGGTGAAGAACCGGTGCGCATGTCACCGCCTTCTTGAGGGCGCGGAAGGCGTCCTCGTGGAGGGGTGGAGGGGTGTCCAAGCCCAGGGTGGGTTCTTCCGGAGGAGGGTGGAGGTAAGGACGTAGGAATACCTAACGTATCCCCGGATGAAGTTACTATAGTAGTTGGTCAGGCCTAGGAAGCTGCGAAGCTGCTTGACGGATGTGGGAGCGGGCCACTCCGCAATAGCAGTGATCTTCGCGTCGTCCATGTGGAGACCCTGGTCAGACACGGAATGTCCTAAGAAGTCCACTTTGTGCTGGGCAAAGCGGCACTTGCTCAGCTTGGCGTAGAAGCCATGTATGCACAAGCGGTCAAGGACGTTGCGGAGGTGTCTGAGGTGCTCCTCAAGGGTACGACTATAGACCAGGATATCGTCGAGGTAGACGAGAACGTACTGCTCCAGGATGTCCCTGAAGATGTCGTTCATCGCCCTCTGGAAGGTAGCGGGTGCATTGGTAAGGCCGAATGGCATCACCGTAAACTCGTAGTGGCCGAAGCGCGATCGGGACGCTGTCTTCAGCTGGTCGGCTGCAGCGATGCGGATCTGATGGTAACTGCTACGAAGATCAATCTTCGTAAAGAAGCGGTTGCCTGCTAGGCGGTCGAACAGCTCATCGGAACGAGGCGTGGGATAGCTGTTCTTAACCGTGTAACGGTTGAGGCCGCGATAGTCGATGCAGAGACGGAGAGTTCCATCCGCTTTGCGAGCAAAGAGGACGGGTGCACCCCACGGGGAGTTGCTGGGTTTAATGAAACCCAGTCTCAGGAGCTCCTCAAGCTGACGCTTGAGTTCGGTGGCCTCGGGGATCGACAGTCTGTAGGGTGCCTGGTGGTGAACACGATAGTCAGGCACGAGCTGAATGGAGTGCTCGACGTCACGCATCGGTGGAATGCCGGCATACGAGAACGACGATGGGAAAACGTTGTGGTACTCTCGGATGAGGTCACGAACTGCGGGCTCCAGGTCAGCCGTATATCGTGCGAGTTCCTCAGCGTCAGCGTCAGCGCGCGACGGCAGGTTGGACTCGACGGACGGCAGAGGGACGGAAGTAGAGATGGGAGCCATGGAGATGGAAGGAGGGTCTGGCTCCAGAGGGATGAGCTCGGCGTCGGGGCAGGGTGGATCATAGTGTAAGAGATCCGTCACGTTCACCATAAAGAAGGTGACGTCGTCCTATCGGATGAAGTGGGCGAACTGCCGAGGCAAGGTGACAGTGATAGAAGGAGATGGTATGGGCACGGAAGGCTCCGGGGGAGGAGGATCGGGGCGTGGTGTCGCGGTGGTACCTATGAAAGGTACGCGATACGTCTGTCCACACTTCATTTTGAGAACGAGAGTGTTGGTCGCCCAATCGCCCTCGGTGCTGCGGAACCGACGAGACCACGGAGTGCCGAGAATGAAGTCGTACCCCGTCTCCATCACATCGAAATGTGCAGAGGAGCGGTGGCGGTGAGACGCCGGGGAACGATCAGTCGGCTCGAGGGTGAGGAAGAAAGGGAGGTCGGTGACCGTCTGATCGAAGAAGCGCTGGGTCTTGTTATCCCCTAGGGTAACGGAGATAGGAGTCGGAGACCTTGTCGTGGGTAAGCGGGCTTCCTTCACCACGCGTGGGTGAATGAAGTCGCCCTGAGAACCGGAATCCCACAACGCGGAGTACACCCTCGTGGAGGTCCCGAGTCGTACTGGGATGATCGGGAGGGTGCGATCAGGGTCAGARAGGATGGCGAGAAGGCGACGCAGTGCAGCGACATGGAGGGTGAGTCGCTCCTGACGAGTCTGGAGCATGCTCAAGTCCAGAAGAGAGGACACGACGTCCTTGCGAGTAGCGAGCTGCTCGCTGCAACAGGCTGAGCGAATGGCTCGACGCGTCGGTAGTCGCGGCGGGGAAGGAGGGGAGACGGTGGTCTGTGGAGGCGCAGACGGTACTGCGACAGAAGGCTGAGTACACTCTGTCGAGTCCTGCGATACCTCAACTCGAGTAGCGAGAGGGGCGAACTGCGACGGAGATGTCGGAAAGCCCACTACTGAGGAGGGCGCAGGTGTACACTGCACCGTGGCTAGGAGGCGCCGCGGGGATGCGAGGCGCCGGGGGGGGACTGAGCACGACGCTGGCGGGAAAGGTCAGCGTAGTGGCGGTGGAGGGCGGTAGTGTAAGGGCACCGCGAGGAGGTATGACCGTCTAAGCGGCAGCGCAAACACCTACGTCGGCCCAAAATAGTCGCGCGCTCCTCAACGGAAAGGACACCGCGAGGAGGAACAAAGCCCTGAGGGAGGTCCTGCTGAGGGACCTCGGGGGGCGACGCGCCAGAGTGACCAGGGCGGCTGCGTGCCCGGGAAAGGGTGGAAAGGATGAGCTGGAGGCGCTCAACCATAGGGAGAGTAGGGTCCTCCAAGTGGTGCTGGACGGCATCGCCGAGGTCGAGGTCATCGCTATGATCACCCTCTGGCGACTGCGGGGCACCAGCGTCCTGCTCACCATACTCGAGCGCGCTGAAGCGGCGCGAGAAGTGGCGGCCCTGCTGCGCGGAACGGCGGGGTCGACCGTGGAAAGGGGAATGGCGCTGGGAAGTGCCGTGAGAGGAGGAGGAGGCGTAACCCGTGCGCTGAGGCTGGGAGGAGGAGGCAGGGTGAAG